TATATATATATATATATATATCTGTGTGTGTGTGTGTTAATTGTATATGGCAATCTTATCTTCCACGTCTTAATTATCTTGTTTTTTTATGGATAAGGAAAAATGTGTATTATGTTAAATGAAAAGGCATAAATAATGTTCTCTTAAGATCCAATTCTCATTTTTTTTCATCTTTTATTTTTTTGTTTCCATCTCTCATATATCGTAAATGTTGCTAAGAATTAAAAATTTGTAAGAGCAAATTCTTTTTATTTAGAAGTTCAAGCCTACTTTGCATTTTCATTATCTGTTATTCATTTGAATATCTTTTCTATACACATGTTTAGATTATACATACGTATATTCATCCTTTTTAATATTAAATGCAGTATTTTTTTCCTTTTACGCTTGAGTCTCAAGGCTAAAATCAAATAAAAATTGAATTGAATTAAAGCGTAAATATTGGCTTTATTTTAGAATATGGTTTGAACTTTCTGAGAATAGGCATAATCGGTCTGGTTCTAAAAATTGTTAAACACGAACTAAACTAAATCATACTCACCCTTATACATGTAGAGAAGGTACAAATAAAATCTAAATTAGCGATAGCAATAGAGATCATCGATGAAAGGATTAACAATGAGTATTGATAGCAAGCGATGATAGAGGTATCACCAGAGAGCTTTCAGAGTATTGTTGGAAAGCGTTTGGTAATCATTAAAGAGTCCAACGAATCAGGGACAAAAACAATGACAAATTAGTCCTTTGAGAGTGGAGGTGGATCAGAGCGATGTGTATATGTATAAGAAATAGAGGTGGCTCAAAGTGACTCGGGCTTTGATGGAAGAGGCAACGTTCTAAGAGAGAAAAGCCAACAGAGTATTGAGGGGTCAGAATGATAGGTAAGTGGGAGAATCACAAATGGATATAATTTGAAAAGTGTGATATTGATCAAGAAGTATTTGAGGAAGATCTGGAAAATTCTAGTTCTCGACTTTGATTCCATGTTAGGATAAGGGATGGGGAATTATCAAAGACTATGTCTTCATTTGTATTTATAGTGCAAATATATTTATATATGCCTGCATTCTGCCAATAGAAGAGAACAATAAATAAAAAAGTAATATTTGAGAACATTCTTAATAATAATTAGTACAAATTGCTACGAACAATAATTTAGGTCCAGTGATAATTTAGATATGGTAACATTCTTTACTTACCATGTTGTGAGTTATCAAGCTAGTGAACTCCACAACACATCTACATAGGCATAAAAAAACTTTAGAGCCTTTTAAGAGACCACACCAGTTTAATACTGTTACAAACATTATTTTCATCACATTTTAAACGCCTCTCAAACCTAACTTTGAATATCAATTCCCTCAACTAAATATTCGCTGACATGTTGCAATATAATTTAAACAACATATCAACCATCGTCATTTGGCAGCATAGCTGCAGTAATTTTAAAGGGGAAATTTTGTTCATCAAGCATAACTTCAATATAAGTAGTTCAAAAAATTAATTTGTTAGCAATTTATGACAATAAAAGCTTGCTCAAATTCTTCTTTCATGAATAATAACTATGTAGTTGATGAATTTTTAGGGAAAGTTTTGAGGGAAAGACAGATGATGGACAAGAGATAGCTGTAAAAAGACTTTCCGAAAGTTCAACGCAGGGACTTGATGAGTTCAAAAATGAGGTGATGTTGATTGTCAAGCTTCAACATAGAAATCTTGTTCGGCTCTTAGGTTGCTGCGTACAGAGGCAGGAAAAGATGCTGATATATGAGTACATGCCAAACAAAAGCTTGGACACTTTTCTATTTGGTATAATCTTTATTACCTTTTCATATCCTGTTTTATTTATTATTTTTCTTTTGCCCTTAGGTTTGCATTGCATTCAATTATAAATATTTCTTATTAGAAAATTGCGTTTTCGTCATACTAGTGTGCTAGAATTTTATTCCTCATTTACTTTGTTAAACAATATTATTCCTCATTAGCAGTTCACTCTCTATAATATTATTGCTAGCAACCATCTTCAATATCACCAAAATCATTTTTGTTTACAGAGTGACTTATGAATTTTCTGAAGGGACTGTTTGGTTGGTGAACTACTGCCATATAATTTTATTAGTTTCAATTATTCAAAATTTTTTTTAAGGGTATCAATTTTTCAATTTGGTGACATCCTTATAGCAATATTTTAAATGGCACTTCAATCTTATCTTGCTAACGGAATAACACTTATAATGGTTAATAGAATTGAAAAAAAAAGCAACTTATAATTAGCATCATCTTATTCAAACAAAATAATACTAAATCAAATGACTGCATGTGATACATTTTAGGAAAATTTGCATGCATACCGCTCAATTCCTATGTATTTACATATCTAAGACATAAACTTCAATGTTTACATATACGCATGCCACTTTATCCATGCATGAAAAGTTGTATTTCACTTTTAAAAAAAATTAAAGTAGTGGTATTTTTGATGTGATACTAATGATTTGAAGGATAGAAATGTACAAAAGCAAAGTTTAGTTGTTATATATGTCAATACGTAGAAATTGGGTGGTATGATGGAAAAGCGCCAACATTACAATACTACTATCAAAATAATATTAGCCTTTAAAACTACAAGCCAATGATACTACAATTTATGCACACCTGGCCATGAAATCAATTTTTTTTGCACATGAGAACGTTTCTTTGCACATCACTTTTAATAAAGCACTTTGAATACTTATACGCAGCTCCGATTAAGCATCTTTTGCTTCTACTGCTCTCTATTAATGGTAGGGTAAATTTTGAAGAAACCTACGTTAGTCTACACGATAAATCCTCATAACTCATCTCTAATTCAACATTAAAACATTTCTGATCAGACCAGTATAAAAAAGTGTTACTTAATTGGCGAATGCGTTATAACATACTCGTTGGAATCGCACGAGGTCTCTTATACCTTCATCAAGATTCAGCTGTGAGAGTTATTCACAGAGATCTGAAAACTAGCAACATTCTTCTAGATCAAGAGATGGTGCCTAAAATTTCAGATTTTGGGCTTGCAAGAATTTTTGGAGGAAACGAAGCAAAATCTCAGACCAAAAGAGTTGTAGGAACATAGTAAGTGTTTTATGCTTATTGGACTATACTACTTTATATTTAGAAGGTTAGAAGTTTACCACCCAAATCTCATGTATTTACACATCTAACACCTAAACTTCGCTTTTTTACATTTATACCCTCAAATCTTGCATATCACATCAAAAATACCACCATCTCAATTTTGAAAATGTGAATTACACCTTTTCATGCATGGGTAAGATGGTGTGTATGTAAAAATTGAAGTTTAGGTGTTAGATATGTAAAACATAGGAATTGAGTGATATGTATGTATTCCTTTGAAGAAGTTCTTGTCTTCACACATTTTCTACTTGTTATTCAAAATTTTGAATGGTTAAATTCCAAGTAGATAAAAAGTAGGAAGATAGACGTACATGCCACACAATTCCTATGTATTTACATATCTAACACCAGAAGTTTGATATTTACATTTATGCCACTACCATATATGAGATGGTGCACTTCATTTTTTTGTTAAGTTATTGATAGTGGTATTTTTAATGTCTTACGGAACATTGAGTATTATAAATGTAAGAAACAAACTTTAGGTGTCAGATATGTAAATTCCTAAGAATTGTGTCGTATGTATATAAATGTCCCTAAAAATTATTTTAAAAAAGTATTTAGCTTTATAAAAGGATAGAGTCTGTTCTTATCTTTATGATGTGAATTAATGCATCAACGAGAATATTTTTCTCATGCTCTTAAAAGTTTGCTAATTTGTACTTTATTTTGTTATGCAGTGGATACATGTCTCCAGAATATGTGCTTGACGGCATATTTTCTATGAAATCTGACGTGTTTAGTTTTGGTGTTTTAACTCTTGAGATCATAAGCGGACAAAAAAACAGGGGTGATTATATTTCTCAAACCTATTATCATCTTTTACAGCAGGTAAATCATGTAAACTTTGAAGTTTTTTTATTTTTTTATCATTTATTTTTTTTGTGTGTGTGCAATTTTCAAAATTTCAAGTTATCCTTAAAGAATTTAAACTTAATTTCCATGTACTTTGATTTTTCATCTTAATCAGTGCTTCTAAATTTGATAACTTTTTAGAAATAACTTTATCTTAGTTTGCTGTTCGATTTCAATTTAATGATATTTAAATGACAATAATTAACTTTTGAAAATATTTGTATTTTTATTGGCACCTTTGTCTTAAACATGTGGATCCTATTTAAATACACAGAGTGAAAAAGAATATGAAGTAGAAAAGATGATTAAATCACAAAAGTACACTACATTTTGAAGAGGCTCAACCCTGTTGCTATCACTGCAGATTTCACTATCATTTGAATCCTCTTATGCGACATAAAGAAAAACCTAAGAAATTAAAAAACGCAGCAAAATTCTCAATAATTTCTTAAAAAAGTAGTTCACAAATATGAATGAAAACATAAAGATGGTGACACACGACTATAAGTTGAGTTGCACATTTTCTTTGTAAGACCAAAGTAAAAAATCACATCTTAGGGTCTATTTGGGATAGTTTTCTACTTGTTTTGTAAAGTATAGTGGCTGCAAGAAAACTGCTATATGAATTTTTAAAAAAGAAAATTTTTGCAATTCACTCCATAGCTTTCTTAAAAGATTTGTTAAAAACAGAACAGCTGACTCTATAAGTTTTCTAGATGCTCAAGATCAAACTTACATCATCATAAGTAGCATAAATCTATTATTTTGTGAACTCAGGCTTGGAGACTGTGGAAAGAAGACAATGCAATGGAGCTACTTGATGAAACAATTGAGAATTCGTACTCAGTTAATGAGGTTTTAAGATGCATCAAAGTGGCTCTTTTGTGTGTTCAGGATAGGCCAGAAGACAGGCCATTAATGTCTGATATAATTTTGATGTTAACCAGTAATAATGAGGTGTTACCAGACCCCAAATGTCCAGCTTTTGTAGCTAAAGCTGAGTCATCCTCGACTAAGCGGCAATCCCCTTCTGTTAGTAATGCAACACTTACATTAACTCTTGGGAGGTAATAAAAAATTCATTTACATTTTTTTTAAGGGTTATTCACATATCTAATACCTAAACATTCATTTTTTGCATACATACTGCTCAAATCTTTAATGTCACATAAAAAATACCCTCATCACTGTCTTTTTGAAAGTGAAATAGACATTTTCATGAATAGGTTCATCACAATGGGATGTTATTAGTGTTAATATCAAACTTTGGATGTTAGATTTGTGAATACATAAAAATTATGGTATGTATGTAAATCTTCCTTCTTTTCAAAATTTAGCAGAATGTATATGTTGGATTCATCTTCATGTATGTAAAATTTAGAGAATATTTGAACCGTCAAATGACCTCGCAAAATTTTAAACAATGCGTCTGGGGACTAGATTTGGACCTCTTTGTGGACTGAATTAGTGTAGTTGATATCTAACACCTGAAAAGTTTTATTTACTGGTATACCGAATAAATCTTCAAAAAATGCTCTGTTTTACCATTTCGTTATCATTCAATCGTTGCTCTAAGTTTGTCGAGTCCCCATTAGGAGCTAGTAATATGTAAAATTTGTTTTCATTCACAAAAAAGATGATCGAGTGGTAAAAATGAGCATTGATCTTCTTTAAAGATTTACATGGTATCCAGGTAAATAAAGCTTTTTAGGTGTTGATTTTGTAAATAGTTAAGCCTTAAGTACTATGTATATAAATGCCCCAAAATATAAATCTCCCTTTGGGGCATTTACATACATACCACACACTGCATATGTTTTTACATGGCACCTAAACTTTATTTTTTACATTTATATGTGTGTGTGTATATAAATCCCCCTTTGGGGCATTTACATACATACCACCCACTTCATGTGAATTTACATAACACCTAAACTTTATTTTTTACATTTATATGTGTTCGTGCTCGTGTGTGTGCTTGCATGCGCGTGCGTGCGTGGAATAATATATACATACATACATACATACATACATACATATTAATTATCATTATTATCATTGTCATTTATTATTATTATATTATATTTTTTTTATTTTATTGTTTATATTCATTTTTTTCTTTTTTTATGAGAAATTTGAATTTTAATTAAGGATAATGGTGATTTGATTATTTTAATTGTGAAGTAATTGGATTATAATGTGTGTGGTGTGAATTATAATGTTTGTATGTGTAGTGTATGTATGTGCGTGATTCTTCAAAACATTAAATTCTCAAGTCCAAATGGTCTCGTTAGGGCTTTTTCCAATTCTTTGGGAACTCACCTTGAGTTTCAATGTGTTGGTCTTAATCGACTCAAGTGTTGAGGATTTGAAACTAGACACATGAGACTACTAGGAGTTAAGAAGTGTTTGAATTTCTAATTAGTGTGGGTCAGCATTGGGCCTGTAGAAGAGTCAATAGGGAAGCTCTATAGCTAGATCCTAGGCTCCAGAGAGGGAGACAGACCTCACCAAAAATGAGGTCAACATGGCCATGGTGGTGAGTGACGATAACATCCATAGGTCACAAAGGTTGGAGTTAGGAGTTACATGAGTTGTGAGCCATGTAGGCTATAGTTGGTCTTATAGGCTGTAGTGGTAAGCTGTGATAATATTCTTATGCCATAAAGAGTACATTTGAGAGCTTCAATAACGTCTATAAGTCACAAAGGCCGGATTTTAGAGGTGCATGAGTTGTGAGCCGCGTCGACAGTAATTGGTAACATATGCTATGTTGTAATAATGTTTGTAGGCCACAAATGTCAGAGTTAAGAGTTGCATGAGCTATGGGCGACGTAGGTCATAGTTGATCACATAGACTGTAGTAGAGAGCTATAATAATGTCCGTAAGCCATAGAGCTTGGAGTTAGGAGTTGTGTGAGCTGTGAGTTGTATAGGTCAAAGTTGGTCATATAAGCCGTTTTAGTGAGTTGAAATAATGTTCATAGGACATAGAGGCCAGAGTTAGAAGGTGCAGTTATGTTCATAGGCCATAGAGGCCAAAGTAGAAAGTTGCATGAGCTGTGAGCCACGTAGGATCTTGTTATTCTCATAGGCTATAAATGTGAGTTGCAATAATGTTCGTAGGTCACAAAGACTGAAGTTAGGAGCTGCAATAACTTATGTAGGCCATAAAAGTCGGAGTTTAGAGCTTTGTGCCTGTGAGTCATGTAGACATACTAGTTGCAAGGATGTCAGTTGACCACCAAGGTCGTAGGGGAATGCTACGAGGAGAGAAATTCAGGAGTCTGGAAAATGTCGTTGTATCTTGAGTATGACAACCGTAAGTCGTTGTCATCAAGAACTATCGTCGGATCTTAAATACGACACTATTTGTTACATCATTTTGGGGGTATGTTGTTACATTGAATTTAGGGTGCACTATTACACTATAATCGAGTTGTTTCATTGCACTGTCTTCTAGGTATATTATTACACCACATCGTATGTCTTGACTCTGTAAGGTACTTTGTTGCAATTGTGTCGTTACTCTGCAAGTTTCCCCAATGATGATAAGCATGTGGTGATTGTTGGTCGTCAATGAGGGGTGGTCTACAGTGGTCGGTGACTGGGGGTGCAGGAAGTATTCGTTGGGTCTTCAGTCTATAACATCACTTGAACTCACTTCTTTTTCTCACAATTTAGATCTAGGTCTGGGTCTTCTCGCATTTCATAAAGGGAATAGGGTTCTATTTATATTTTTTGGTAATGTCATCTCATATAGATAAGTCAGGAATTTGGATCACTCCGTCGGACGACTCAGAGCGATTCTTTTGATCATATGAAATTTTATGGATATTTGAATGTCTTAATGATGTTAGAATTGAGTAATCTCAAGCTCGTTGGATTAAGCTCATATAGACGTTTGATTTTACTATAAGCTCTTTAGATTTAGAATCCATTAGACCCTCCAATTAACCCCTCAAAGCTTTCTAAAATTATTTATTTTTTTAATACGAGCTTGATTTTACTTGAATTGGATTAATTTTGGTTTCATTTAGTTTTTCTTATCGAGTCGTAATTGTAAGTTTGTTGAAATCGGAGCCCTCGATGATTTTTATTTTGAGATTGGATACTTTTTGCTAAAAAAATGGCCCAACATTCATGCCAAATGTCTTGAGATTCATGCTGTAAAATTTCTTGATACCAAATTTGTTGACGGCTTATCTGATATATATATATATATATATATATGCATACAGAAATGTTGGAATGTTAGCCAATGTCGTATCACCCCCACAAACTTTAGGAAGCAATAATGTTCCCGTAATTCTCTATGCCACCCTGCCACTCTTGTCATGTTATCAAAGTCTCCATAACTGCCTATACTACTCTTGGCATGTTACCAAAATGTAATAATATATTTTTATATTATACCATATCAACAACGGGAAATTAAATTACATTTAATGGTTAACTTCCTTATATATCATCTCTCTTATTTATATGTATTGTATCAAGTACTTATCTAAAATTCATTCCTTAAGAATTCTACCATTTGATGTGAGGTTTTTTATTCCTTAGTATTTCCTTATAGATTTATTAGTATAAAAATAAAGAAAAGACGGAAAAATAAAATTAAAGCACTTACGGCACAGTAACTTAAGAAGAACTCAAAACTTATATTTGTTTTCCTTCACATCTTTTCACACACATGGCACATGGTTTCATATATATTTAAATTAAGAGAAATATTAAACTATTTTACCTTAAATCTAACATAATCCTTCAATGCAAAAATCTTACACCATGATTTGATCAAGATCTCTCAATTTTTTTGTAAATTAAGGCTTTGTGAATTCATCGACAAATTACTCTTTTGCAGAACAATACTTGATTGTAATAGTTATGTTGGCAGCATCTTCTCTTACGAAATGATATCTGGGTTCTATAGGCTTTGATCTACCATAAAATATTGGATTTTTCGGGAGATATTTTGGATTTATTATCACAAAATATCTCTCTCGTTTTCAAACGGGTTTGTTAAAAATCTTATAATATTCTCCTCATTCAAATTGCTTAACATGTTGTTGATGAAACTGCGATATACTTGACCTTCAACAATGACAATTCAGTAGTTTCTTGCTTCTTTGTGTTCCAAGATATCATGCTAACTCCAAGTCTAAAAATAAATCTATTTGTACTTTTTCGATCATCTTTAGAATCTTCCAAATCACTATCAGTAAAACCAGCTAAATTAAAATTAGAAACAAAATTATAACAAATATCATAGTTTTCTTCCAAATATAGCAAAGAATGTGTTTGGCTGCTGCGATGATGCACAAAAGGATTATACGTAAATCTTAGAATAAGATTCACTGAGTACATAATATCATACCCGATATAATTCAAGAACATAAGACCACTCACAATTAATCTATATACTTTTTCATTTGGCTTAGTTGTACCATCATTTTGAACAATTTGTTCATTTGCATTTTATTGATGTTGATCAGATTTTGTAAGTCAGCATATGATACTTCTTTAGTAACTTCAATGCATGCCGTTTTTGAGATATAAAAATCCCATCATCTGCTTGAATTATTTGTGGGCCCAACAATTAGTGCAAAAAACCCAAATCAATAATATCAAATTATTTATTCATATCAACCTTGACATTTTCAATCAAAATTTTGGATGATATCATCTACATAAACAACCTATAAGAATATCAATACATTAAGTCGACGTATACAATTTGGGTGCACTTTCATTTCTAAGGAATCCTTCTTTTGGAAGTATGAATCAAGCCTACAATACCATTTGCTTGGTGCTTGTTTAAGACCATAATGTGCCCATTTTAGTTTATAAACTCTCTCCTTTTTATTTGTAATAATGAAACGTTCTGTTTGATTTTATATATATATATATATATATATATATATATCTATGTGTATTCTTGTGCATAACTCTTAACAAGTCTTGCTTTGTGTCATTTTACACTTCCATCTGAATTGTATTTCACTTTGTAAATCCATTTCACACCTATTGGAACATTTTCTTGCGGCATATCAACAAATTTTCAAGTATCATTTTTCTCAATAGCTTCAACCTCCTTATTTATAGCATTTTCCCATTCTTCGTTTCCACAAGCGACTTCATAATTTGATGGTTCTAAAATGATAAAAGCAAAAAAAAAATAATAATATAACTCTTTTAAGGATATCATCTTTTTAGTCTGTCTTTCATCAGATGTACGTCAATTTATTGATCTTGGACTTGATAACGATGAACTAAGTGATGAATTGTTTGATTGTGATGGGCTTAATGATGAATCAACATTAATATCTTAATTATCAGCAATATCGATTTCATGCTTCTCTTCAAATTCAACTATTGCTTTTCATTTATCAACAAGAGTAGATTCACTCCAATCCCACATACTATTTTCATTAAAAATAACATCTCTACTGATAATGATCGTCTGAGACTTTGGCTCAAATAGTCTATGTCTTTGAATAAATATTATAACCAACAAATATCATCTTTTTAGATTTACTATCCAATTTGCTTCTCTTTTTACCATCCCTCGAGACATATGTAATGCTTCCAAATACCCTCAAATGACTAACTACATGTTTTCTACTATGCCATGCTTCATAAGGTGTACTATTTTGAACAATCTTTGTTGGAGATATATTCAAAATATAAGTTGTAGTTGGAATAGCTTTATCCCAAAATATATTTGATAAATTCTTTAACTTCAACGTACTTCTTTCCTTTCTACCACCGTTCCCCTCTTTCTTTCCACAACCCCATTTTATGGAACAGTTGCTTGCCTGAAAATTTAATGTTTATCACAACATTTGTCATTCTCATATGATGTAAACTAGCCACCTCTATCAGTACTTAGATTTTTAATATACTTGCCACTTTGATTTTCTGCCAAAGCTTTGAAGTGAATAAACTTTTCAAATACTTCTTATTTTTATGCTTCAAAAAATACACCAAATTCATTCTATTGTAATCACCCACAAATAAAAGAAAATATTTACCTCTTCCATATGATGATGCATTCACTCTCGTTACGCTCAAACGACACCTGGACTCCTCTCTTCACTGGCTAATCCTCGACAGAAACCATCCCAATCCGACCCTTGTCAGCTGCCCTACGTTGTATAGGTTGGCTGAGCTGCCCTGCTCATCATCGCCACTACGCTAGTCATGCAGACTGCTGGTTACCTTGTCCCAAGCTTAGTCCCTCTCGCCTCCAGTTGTCTCCACAGCCCTCATTGTCGAGCTTATCACCAACAAAATATTGATGGTAAAGAGGTATAGATAAATATAGATATAAAAGAAATAATCGGTTCAAAAAACTTACTCTATTCATTCATGACAGAGGCTTATATATAGTTTACAATGTTTTACAAATAAACCCCTAGGCATCTCCTATATTTCTTTTTACCAAAAGGACCTTAATCTAGATACAAATCTCAACACTCCTCCTCTAGATGAGCAAAAGATATTCACTAAGCCCATCATAACATAGACAAATCTAATGAGCTTAAGTTCTTCGGTGAGGCAGTCGTCATTTGCTCCTCATTGGTTGCATGAGTTAGCTTTAGTGGTCTGTTATTCAGTTATTACTTGATGAAGAACCTATCAATCTTCACATGTTTGGTTCATCGTGTTGCAACAGGTTGTTGGCAATGTTGATTGCTGACTTTTTTGTTTCACCACAACCTCATTTGAGCTACTTGGTCCACCTTGAGCTCTACCAATAGGGCTCTCAGCCACATCAACTCGACAACTCCTAAGGTCATAGCCCTTTATTCTGCATATGTTTTTAACCTTGCTACTATCGATTGTTTCTTGCTCTTCCAAGAGACCAAGCTGCCCCCTACGAACATTTAGTATCATGATTTAGACCTTCTGTCATCCGCACAACTAACCCAGTTAGAGTCACAAAAGCCCTCAATGTATATGCACATTCCCCCTAAAGATCAAACTCTTTTCTAGCGCACTCTTCAAGTACTTCAAAACCTAATACACAGCGTCCATTTGGCCCTTGTATTTTAATAAAGTGCCTTTATTTTATAACTTTAAGTTCTTTGGGAGATTAAAAGCTTATATGCATAATAAAAATTTTCAAAATATAGCACAATTATGAAAAAATATATTGCAGAATAGTACCAATCACTTTGCTCTTTGTAATTCCCTTGACAAATAATCATAATATGATAGCTTCAGCATATAAACATCTTCTTGTAGTACATTTCTCTAATATTTCTCCTTTACATAAATAAAATCAAATAATAAAAAACACTCAAAGAAAATTAAACAATATTTGCTTAAAGTTTTCTTAGTAAAACGATCCTATGAAGACCAAGAAAGCATTCTTATGATGTTCCCTGCATATTGCATTCTTCAAAGTAATGCAACATTGTCGTATCTTGAACCCTTCAAATTCAAAAGAGTCAAAAGAACACTTTGTTCATTGCTCTACCGACCCTCGAGCTTCGTCACGGACATATCATTAGTAGAAAAGCTCCAAGACAATTTGGTTTCGCTCGAGCTTTCGGCGTCCCAAAAACCCGGATTTTTAGGACGTGGCAACATAACATTCGCACTCGATAGCATAAGAAGCACCAACGACATTGATGGCCTATCATCTGCTCTTTCTTGAACACACAATAGTCCTAAGTGAACGCATCTCAACACCTCACTCTCTAAACAGGAATCATCTAATGATGCATCAAACAACTCCAATGCCTTCCCTTCTTTCCATAGACTCCACGCCTGAAAATATAATAATAGCATTAGTGCTACTTCATTGAATTGTTCCATGTAATGTCACATTATTAGTAGATATTACGATTTTGATTTATTAACATTTCTAAATGAGGAACATTTACATAAATAGCACACAATTCTTATGTATTCACATATCTCACACCTAAACTTGCATATTTACACGCATAACACTTGGATTTTTAATATCACATATTACCACTTTTTAAAGTGAAATATGCATTTTCATGCATATAGGTATAAAGCACAAATTACTAGGTATGTAAATATGAAAGTATATGTGTGATATATGTAAAACTTAAGAATTGCAATCCAAGCATTATTAACCGATGATATTGCTATTTTCATAGTAATATTGATGCTTACATAAGCGAGAAGGTTTATACGTTGGTCAGAAATATGAATTCCTTTGTTCTTCTTTCCACTCACGATTTCTAGAACCAATACACCGAAGCTAAAGACATCTGATTTTGCCGAGAAGATGCCATCCATTGCATACTCTGGCGACATGTATCCACTACACGGAATGAAACAAGTTAGCATTGAAATTGATACGATTATATGACATCATGGATGCATATTTGATATGATGCTTACTATGTTCCAACTACTCTCTTAGTATACGCATCGGTCTCCTCTCCGTCAAACATTCTCGCCAATCCAAAATCAGAAATCTTAGGGTTCATCTCTTGATCCAACAAAATGTTGCTTGCTTTCAAATCCCTATGAATGATTCGAAACCTCGAGTCCTGGTGAAGATAGATGAGCCCACGAGCAACACCGACGATGATTTTGAATCGCATCGGCCAGCTCAAGAGAGAAGATTTAGTTTTATCTACTCAATGTTCAAGCGAGAATTTATCACTACACTTTTTGATAATTTATAATAATAGGGAAATTTACCCATGTAGCACACAATTCTTAACTATTTACATATCTTACACGTAAACTTTCATATTTACATTCACAGCACTTTGGTGCTTTAAACCTATGCATTAAAAAGTGTATTTCATTTTTAAAAAGTGGTAATAGTGCTATTTTTTAATGTGATATCAAGGAATCAAGTGCTATATGTGAAAATATGGAAGTTTGGGTGTGAGATATGTAAATACATAAGAATTGTGTACTATGTATGTAAATGCGCCTATAATTAATTGTTAAGAATAAATGCAAACCAAATATTATGGTGTCCAAGCTCCTATTTTCCATGTACTCATAAATGAGCATCTTCTCCTCTCCCTGAAGGCAACAGCCAAGCAATCTAACAAGATTGATGTGCTGAAGCTTAGCAATCAACATAACTTCATTTTTAAACTCCTCCAGTCCTTGCAATGAACCTTTTGACAGTCTCTTCACAGCTATTTCTTGACCATCTTCAAGCTTACCCTGGTCCATCAAAACTCAATTTTTTAGTATTAAATTAAATAAAGAAGGGACATTTACAAACATACCAACCAACTCCTATGTATTTGCATATCTTAACACCTATACTCTACTTTCTACTTTCAAAAAAACAAAAATCTCTGCTTTCTACATTTATACCGCCCAAATCTTTCGCATCACATAAAAAATACTACCATTTTAACTTTTAAAAGGTGAAACGCACCTTTCTATGCATAGGTAAGTTGGCATGTATGTAAAAACTGTAGATTAGGTGTTAGATATGTAAATACATAGAAATTGAGTGGTATGTAAATCTTACAAGAGAGAAATACAAATAAATTACAATACGGTTACCTTATAGACTATTCCAAATCCACCTTCTCCAAGCTTATTAGAAATTGAAAAATTCTGAGTAGCAACTAGTACAGTTTCTAAATCAAATAATGGGAGATCTGTATTTTTCCTCTTGCTACCTTCATCATCTGACAGATGTTCAGTAATTACAGAACCAAATGACAACTGCCTTGACTTATTTCTCCAATAACCTGTTATAAATTATCAAATTAATCCGAAAAAAGAATTTAAATTTGAGCTTCAGAAGGGTAAATTATTCTACATACCAGTAATGTTCACCTTCTTTTTCCAGAGCCAATATCCAGCAGATCCCAATAGAAGAATCAGCACAAAGAAAATTACAACTGTTATAATTACATGTTTCTTCTTGTAGTTTCCTCCTGTCAAAATTAGTGATTGTGTTAACCTTTATTTGGGTAGGAATGAAAATACTTATTTCACTCATAGACTTATGATCAAAATTATTTGCAAATGTTTCATGTAATTTTAAATAGTAGTGTGTAAACTGATATTGCAATGCACATGAGTATTGAGCTTGAATCCACATTGTGCATTTTGTTTTAAAAGATATTGTGATGTTAAGAAAATAATTGCATACTGAGAGATTAACATTAATCTTATTGTTAATATCACTATCACAATTATGTGTGGCTTCCATTTTCTAAACCATTCAGACATTCAGTCAACAAACGTGTTGGAAATAATGATTTCATGAAAAAAAGTAAACATCCATCAAATATTTAATCATTAATTTTGCTTCTACTTAAGTTAATTGTCTAACCTGACAGGATGATTACATACAGACCATCTGAAATATTGATATTTACATATTAAGCACGCATGTGATTGTTTTGAACCATTGAACCGATGTATTTACGCATGTCACGATCAAACTGTTGAGAGTTTGATGAGAATGAAATATCTGAGTTAAGGTTTTACCATGAATTTTGATATTTGAGTAAAAAAGAATAAAAAAAAATTAAAAAAAAAAAAAACTTTACCTGAAAATATGAAATCAAAGAACTAGTAATATCTTTATTTTATTTTTTTTCAAAAATGTGGACAAAAGCACATATTTGATGCAGGCAGGATGCAATATCAAAACTTACTAAGTTCAGAAGCTGCTAATCTTATATAAAAATCTTGGCCTCCATCAGCAAACTGCTTCAGATCCATCAGCTCACTTCCCCAAGTAATGCAACCGCTCCCTCCAGCACTGATATTAGCGCTCGCATAAGCCAAACAAGAACAATTCTTCAAGCAATTTAGCCTGCACTGATCCAAACTAACACTCTCAATAACCACAGCCATTGTTGTATCCGGAAGCTTTATTCCGCTCATTTTCAGAAAGCCATCTCCTTTTTTGCAATCCAGCTCTGTAACTCGAACACAACCATCAGATCCATCTCTCAAGTTCCAATTTTGCAGGTTTTTTGGCTCAAATCCTCGAACACATCTACAAACTGGCGAATAATTTGGGTTGCAGACACCATAAGGACCACATTCAGCATAGGAATCACATTGATCCCTTGGAACTGACCAGTACAGAGACCACGAAGACATGGAATCATACCAGACGTACCTTTGAAGCAAAGACTGGTTCAGCACCAATCTGGAGGTGATGGAGCTGTCGAGCATTTTGTAGGTGTAGTATATCTCGTCTTGATTAGAGACGAAATCGAAGCTGATGTAGCTATTTGGAGCCATCTCCGGTTCGCCGCTGAATTGAAAACCAGTCCATGGACCGTTCCTGTAAGTTGGCTGCGATCCATCCCTTACGAACATCTCTGGTGATCCCCTAAGATCAAGACTGAACGAGTAGTCTCCATTAGAAGGATCGTCCAAGCTCTTCCATGTTGTGAGTTTTGACTCAATTCCGGCTTTTAAGTTCCAACCGAGCTTCATTCCAGGAAGAAGAGTGTCGCAGGGACTGTAAAAACTTTCCCAAACGTAGATTTCGGAAGTACCATCGTTGTTTCTAAGAACGAAGTTGCCATTGTCCAACAGTTGTGCAATTGGATTGATCGATTTTGATGAAGGTGACGTCGACCAGATAGGTGTCTGTGATCCATCGAGCAAGATGAGATTTTTATCAGCTTCTCCGATCGTTAGACTCCCGGAAGTATCTGAGAGTGGAGCGTCTCTGTTGGCCACCCATACGACAGTTTGGACAGGGATTTTCTTGTACCAAATGCCTAAAAATCTCATCTTTGAACTTCCGGGGCTGAAGAAGCCGAGCTCGAAGATTCCGCTGGCTGATATGAGGGTTTGGCCATCTTTGATGGAGGAATTTGGAGTGATGGTGTCTCCTGCTAACGAAGTATTGAAGAGATTAGAAAGAAAAAGAAGCAGAAGTGAGACAACCTTCATGTTTTTCCCTTTCTTTTTTTTTTTCCTTATTTTTGTTTTATTCTGTCACGTCTGAATATTGGCAATATGTAACCTGTAAGATTCCTAAAGGGAAGACTTTTATGGAATGGATTAGTCATTAATGAAGACTTTAGATTTACCATTAAGAACATGAAATCCATCACTTTCAAACTGTTTCAGATTTGACTTTTTTTTTACAAATTATTTCAAGTATAATGTTAAATCCTGATTTCCCATAAATCACATCCAAAAAAAATAGAGAAATAGACAAGGAGATGGACAGAGAAACGAAAAGAGAGAGAATGAACATTGATGGATGGTGATAAGTCGTGTCTTATTTATTAAATAATTTTTTTATTCATAGAGGAGGTCGTACATCATGATCATATTATATTTTTATCTCTACTTTGATCTGTATTGGGATATTTCTGATATTTTACAAATACAAGCTTGTCATTTAGTTACTTTCTGACTTGGTCGGCTAGGCTTAATTGACTTCGGGTCAGCTCAGTCAGCTAAACTGGGTCGATCATCCATGTTAGTTTGGTCGCCCATGTTGGGTCGATTGTTCAGGTCAGGTCATCCAAGCTGGATTGGCAGTCCAGGCTAGGTCGATCATCGCTCTGGGTCAGTCGTCCAGGTTGGATTAGTTGTCAAGGCTGAGTTGTCCATATTGGGTCATTCATGTTGGGGCAGGTGTCTAGGCTGAGTCGTCCTTCTAAAAGATTCAGTCTGACATACTTTTATTATATATAATTTAATTTTTCTAATTATCTTATCTTTTTAAAAATCAACTGTGAAAAGAAAAAAGAAAATTACAAAAATTAAATTGATATCGTCCGTCTCTCCAAATACAAGTCAAAATTTTGTTTAAGAAAGAATGAGAAGTAATTTTGGAAGATGTTCTAAAGCCGAGTGACAAAATGGGGTTGAAAAGCCGATGTATTGAGATGTTATCGTCTAACTCAAGTCTTACACCATCCATGTCTTAGTAGCCCGATTAGGTCATCGCCTTGGACAGCCTGCACCATATGCTAGACATATGAAGCAAATCTTGTCACAGTCTTTGCGCGAGTAACTATCCAGACTCAATACTAGAGTGATTTGTATGCTACCCACCATGAATCCCGTCGCTAAAGAGCAGAAAATCTTAGCACGATAGCATTTTGAGACATGAGAAATAGGTTTTTATGATGCATGAGCGATGTAGGATGGACAGTCGAGAATAATCCAAAAAGTGTAGACCGCCTCCCTCTTACTTTTTTGGAAACCTGCTTGTGACTGACAAATTCCACGAATATTTGTGGCAAAATCTTTATATGTATATTAACTTTAAATACTTAATGAAAAAATAGGAGGGTAATGAAAGATTTTCCTTAGAGTGTCATCAATGGATCTTTTTTCTTTTGTGGGTGGGGGGAGGGGTTGTAGGGTCAGCTTAGTCGGCTAAACTAGGTCAGTCATTCAGGCGGGGTCAGTTGTCCAGGCTAAGACGTCCAATTTGGCTCGGTCGTCCAAGTTGAGTCATCCATGCTAGGTCAATTGGGACCTGGCTTGGTCGAATTGGAGTGGGGTAGATCGAACTTACTCCTTTTTTTCTTCTCCTTGTTTTGCTCCTCTTTTTGATGGCATGATCCACTCAAAGTTCATTTTAGGATGTTAAATTCTGAATTATTGCTTTAAAGATCTGTATTGAGATATTTCTGATATTTTACATGTACGAGCTTGTCCTTTGGCTGATTTCTAGCTCAATCGACTAAGCTTAATTGGCTTCGGGTTGGCATGGTCAGTTCAGTCGACTGAACTTAATCAATCATTAAGGCTAGGTCGATCATCCAGGTTGGGTAGTCCAAGTTGAGTTGTTCGCCAAGGCTGGGTCGTTCAGGTTGGCCATCCAGGCTAGGTCGTCCCTCTAAGAGATTCAGCCTAACATATTTTTATTATATGCATAAAAAGAGATAAATTTATGTAGCTTTATAATTGCTCATTTTATGATAGATATACATTAAGGTTTTTTTTTTCTTTTAGTAGCAAGCATCACGCTTCATAAAGAAAAAATTACAATAAAAATTAGGCTCCACAACATAGGAAGAGTAAAGAAGTAATTAAAAAAATACTACTGAGATTCACCAAAAAATAAAGGCTTAATGGGATCTCTAAAATGCTTAAGCAGAAGCCAAATAGTCCAAATTTTGGGGAAGAAAGATCAAAACAACTGTGAAACTATAATTAATCTTTTCTTTTTCCTTGTTTTTGGTAATTTTTATATAAAAATTGGAATTTTAAAAGGTTTTTGACAGAAAATAAAAATTAATGTCCTTTTCACAACATGAGCAAAATAATGAAGACTCCTATACAAAATTCCATAAGGTTTTGTTGCTGAAACGCAACGCTGAAGTAAAAAGAATTTTACAAAATAGAAAACTTTGAATAAACAGTTAACATCTGGGACGTGCAGGCATTGAATTGAAAAAAAGAATTTTGTTAGTCAAAGTACTACTTTTCTAGAACTTAGAACGTAATAAATGATGTGGAATGTTCATCTCCAGGTTTCTAGTAACCAGCTCAGGAAGCTTTGTAAGACGTGACAGATACTTAAAATGCTGGCAGCTAAATGCTGTACTTGGTCTACCCAAAGCTGTTGATTTAAGACGTGTTTACATATCTAAAACCCAAACTCTTTTTGTTTACATATCTAAAACCCAAAGTTTGATAACACCTTGGTGTCATAGAATTATACATGAATCCTTCTTCTCATATAATCCACAATCTTAAAATAAATTCAATAACTAAAACACTCAATATAATTAAAATTGGATCAAAATATTTCAACTCATACATACATACATACATATGAAAGAAACATAAACCTACACATTCATAAATTACAAAATCAATATGAAGGATAAATGAAGAATATTTAAATTTCATGAATTGCTTATCTTCACATTGTGAAACCTTACTGGTGACCTTCAAGAGATTGTGGAAGCCTTGATTGGTGTTCTTCTTGGAGATCTGATGCGTTCTTCCACCTCTAGCTTCATTTAATGAACAAGAAAATAAAGAAATTTCATAAGAAATATAACAAAGTTCTATCAATTAAAATAGATATGTATTGCATCATACCTGTATCATCATTATCATATCTTCTTCTTCTTCCCATTAATCATATAACTTAAATATCAAATATCAAATATCAAATCTCATGAAATGTAGACATGTAGCATGAACATTGTTATAAGAAATTTCAACCCATTTTATGGTGATTTGAATAAACAACATTACATTTTAGAATAATAAAAGGAATAAATTAAACAACAACAATCTTTTAGGCTTGAGCAATAGCCATGAAATCAATTTTAGATCCACCAAACAAATACATTGCACAGAAATACTAGAAGCAACTAAAGAGAAAAACTTTATAGCTGATTGTGCTAGAAGTAAAAAATCAAAATGCAGAGTCTTACAAGTATGCATGTAAAGGAAAATCTTGAGGAACTTCCAAAAGAACAATTGATGGATAAACTCTTTGTGACGCCGCCAAAATTTCGGAATTAGGAAAAAAGGATCTCATGAAGCTGTTGGTGTGGATAAAAAAAAGGGGAATTTGCATACATAGAGCTCTCCATTTTTATGAATTTACATATCTAACACCTAAATTTTACATTTACAACACCCGAATTTTTTATATCACAGAAAAAATACCGCCGTTGTAACTTTTAAGAAGTGAAATATACCTTTTCATTCATAGATAAAGGGGTATGTATTTAGACATTGAAGTTTAGGTTTTGGATATGTAAATACATAAGAATTGAGTGGTATGTATGTAAATCTTGCATTAAAAAAAAAAATTAGGCGATGAGATCTTCTACTTTCTTTGGTAGTCAGAGTGGAGAAAACTTTCATAGTCCGTCCCCTTCAAGGCTTGAGAGACTGCATCCCAGTTCTCAATATGATCTGACAATGGCTTCGTGTGGATCTTTACATGCCTACTTGTAAGCTTTTCATGTGGAATTCCTAGGAAGTCGAGAACATCCATCATTTTCTGTAAAATTAGATTGTTTGCCATAAAACGAAGTAGGAAAATTTGATAAAAGGAAGGAAGGTTTAAATGCATACCACTCAATTCCGATGTGTTTACATATCTAGCATCTAAAGTTTAATTTTTGCATGCATGCCACGTTACCTATGCATGAAAAGATGCATGTCTCTTTTTAAAAGTTTAAGAAGTTCGTATTTTTGAAGTGATATAAAAGATTTAGGTGGTATTAATGTTAAAACAGTAAAATTTAGGTGTTAGATATGTAAATACATAGGAATTGGGTAGCATGCATGTAAATGCTACTAAAAAAAAATCAGAAGGGACATAGCATACTTACGCTTTGGTTTCGGACAAGATCCTCATAGTATAGGACGATGTGGCGGGTGCCCTTGAAGTATTGAATAATATTTGTACTGCATTTTATAGTTTTGTTCATATCAGGGATTAAGTTTTTCACATCAATCAAAGGTTTGAATCTTGCCAGAACTTCAGCCTGCATTTCACCATGAAGAAGAAAAATTAAAGGCTCAAATTTTGAGTACAACATTTTTTACATATATGCGCCCCAATTGGCAAAGGGGCAGTTTATAAATAATTATATCGAATTGGACCAAATTATTAATGAGGATGCAAGAACCCAGACCTCGTGTCTCGAGTGTACATGAGCCTTGTGAGTCCCATTCAGTTGCTTAGCATCACGATCATGAGAGTTTGCAAGCAATGAGACCAGTCGACGGAGAAGATTTCTTCGGAATAGGAATATAGAAGAAACACCTTTTTGTTTGAAGTAATCAACTATGTACTCAGGATTATGCATGAGGCCCTACAATATGCATGTTAATATAATGAAATAAAAGGAAAGAAAAATTATAAAATAACTAAGGGTAATTTATTTCAATATAAGACTTTCGAAGTGGTTGGAGTTGATTTTGAGAAGTGTGTTTCATGAAATGAGTTCCAATAATGTTTGTTTGTTTTGCATGAATTCATTTATTGGGCTTATTTGCTTGTTTAGGATACAACAAGTTGTATTTTTATTCAAAAACTCCAATTTTGCAAGTTCAATTATTTTTATGAATAAAAACAACATTCTAATTTGACTTCCCTTCATCTCTTGTCATTTCTCACAACAAACTTGATCATTTTGTTGCCTCTAGAAGTGGTCTAGAGTATTATGGTCTTAGCAAACATTCTAGTAACAGATTATATTCATGGTCAGAATATCTTTCCCTCCATTACTCAGCATACTTATGCAAGTGATCCAACCCTACCTACTCCTTACGGTGCCTCAACCTCTGAGTTATTTTCTCTCTAGAAGACTTTACTACGTCGACACATCTCTTTTAGAGTGTTATGTTGCCTCTCCTCTTGATCTACTGCAATTCTCTCTGCCACTAAATCTTGGGCTTTAGATGGAAGTAAATATGAACTTCTATCATCTCTTCACATTGTGTATCATTTTAAAACTTTACCACTTTCAAATGTTTTATATGTCCCATAATTTTTTGTCAGCTTAATATATATTCATCGCCTAAAAATTCATTATTGGTTTGTAACATTTTGTTCACCTTATTGTGTCTTTCAGAATAATAGCTCAAAGAAAATGACTGGTGAAGGTGTCGAAGTTGGAGGAGTTTACTACTCAGTATAAATGTTCCTTCTGCCATCTCCTGCACTATTATTACTTTTCGCCAACATTGTTGACTAAGTCATCCTTCTTCTAGTATATTTCAGGGTTTTCTCTATCTAAAATTGATTGCATGCATGTGAGTTATGCAAGCACCACTATGTATATTCTTCACTTTCTACCACTAGTTGTCATCATCTTTATTTTGAGTTAATTCACTCGAATATTTGAGGTCCTAGCCCTATCTTACCTAGGATTATATTATTTTGTCACATTCAATGATGAGTTTTCATGAATTACTTTGGTTTACTTGTTTAAATGTTATTCAAAGGTCTTCGAAATTTTAATCAAGAAATATAAGTATACATTTTCATATCAATAAGAAGTTTCGGCATTGTGTGCAATAAAATTTATACATTTTTAGTTTTGCACATTATACTCTACCGGTGATATTATACATCAAACCTTTTTCCCCATGCATATTAGTAGAATGATGTTGATCAACAAAAAGCCCATCATCTTCTTGATATTACAAAGACATTAATGTTTCACTTAAAAGTTTCTTGTCAGTTCTATCGCGATGTTATCATAATAGCTTGCCAATTCTTTGCCCCAACCATACCTTCCACTTGCACGAAAAACTCTCCTCATACAATGAGATTCATTTTCCTAGGAAATTCTCAAAATTTGAAAGATTATTGGTGTTAAAATACCCCTACTTGAAAGGATACACACTTCAATTGATATAATCTTTCAGAAGACCATACATTTATTTCCTTCCCCCCTAACTGTTATACAACTTCACCAAATGTTCCTATTCTTCCATAACCACCTATACCTAACTCCACTTAACAAGTCTACTCTCAATAACCTCAACATCTTTCACAACAAGACGTCCAACCATTTTGTCAAATTCAACAAAACACTTACCGGCCGATGAACGTTCTGACCTACATTTATCAATTACCCAACAAAAATGTAAAAGTCATGTACAACTTATCCCATTCACTCTTTCTATATTGAGTGTGGATCTATAAAGTAAAAAATTTCATGCATTTGAATTTGTTCAATAATAGTACGGTTGAACTGTCTATTTTTTTAGCCTCGTCATTAATCAAAAAAACAAAATAAGCCTTTTCACAACTATCATTATTTAAAAAGTAAGATAAATTATAAACTGAACTTTCAGGCCAATAAGAAATATTTATTTGGTTGCAATGTCACTACTTCAACCAACCCACATATCTAGTATAAACTCAAGCCTTGCATTACCTTGCAAAGCTACTTAGGAAGCACAATAAATGATTTGAATGTTATTGCCAAATAGCATTCATTTTAGTTAAGTGAAACACTACACAAAATTCAAATACAATTCTTCTATAAATGACACCATAACACAAAATTTTCAAATCATAACGGAACTCTAAGTGGAACAAATGATTCATCAACCAACCTCCAAACCAACAAAACAGGAGTTATTTTTCATCAAAAATAAATAAAATTTAAGAACTGCATAACGAATGATGACCCCATGCATAAGAAACTAGAACCCTACCTACTGTAAACTGAAGTAGAAAAATTACTATTGCAACTTTAAAAAGAATAGAAAATTCAAGTAAGGATATATTTGCCTAAATTTAGTAATAACAAGCTTTATGGTAATCACATTTTCTTTAATATGAGTACAATATATGACTAATCAATCAAAATTTAAATTGCGCTCATTTTAAAACAAATATGATGGCAACAAAACATATCATAAAGACATTTGAGGGGCATTTGCATACATGGCACAAAATTCTAATGTATGTACATATCTCACACCTAAACTTTCATATTTACATCTATAGCTCTCAAATATCTAGTATCATATCAAAAGTAGCATTATTACCACTTTTTAAAAGTGAAATATATATTTTTTATGCATAGTTTTAAAACACCAATGTATGTAAATATGAAAGTTTAGGTTTAAACATGTAAACACATAAGAATTGTGTGCTGATAAATTTCTCTTTCTTTAAAAAGAATTTTTGTAAAGAAAAACGAAGAAACTATAGGAAGCATTTAAGATTATACCTGATTAAGCATCCATTTCAAGCCAACCGCGCCCGTGCATTCATTTTTAGAAGCACTACTGTACCAATCCAAATTATAAACTTTATCTAATGTCTCCATGATAGTAGACACATTTCTTCTCCTTTCTTTGACCAAAAATATCTCACCATTTGAGCTGATATTAATGTGACTATTTAGTAAAGTTTCAAACCATCCACTGCCAGACCTTTGCATTGATATAATTGCGAAGAATCGAACTGGGGTGTGTGCACACTCATTTCTGTCATTTGAATCAAGGAAATTAACACAAATGTATTTATTTCAAATAGGTTTTTGTGAATCCTAAAAAAATAGATTTGGCGAACATTGAGGGGTTAAAACTTGAAAGTTATTTTTTATAACTATTGTTAAGAGGACTACAAGTAGGATTTAGCAAATCTTGTCCATTGGGTTTATTAAATCTTACTTGGGTTCAATCCTGAAAATTGTCTGGCTATTGTTTCAAAATTTAAGGATTCAAGTGAGTGGGAAATCTTATTATATTTACTTCACTAATATCAACCTTAATTAGATTAATTAAATTTTACTTAAGCTAATTAAATAACTCAACTAATGATAAATTAGTGATTTATTAAGCTAATTAAATAATAACTTATATGTTGATAAATTAGGTGAAAAAATAAAAATAAGATTAATCAAGATTAGAAATTAACAATATTAATCATTAAGATTAAATTAATAGCGCGCGCACACACACAAATAAACATTTGGCATAATTTATGCTAAATTTCACTTAAATCATACAGAAAAAAACCAAATAGCACCTTAAACTAAAGGCCTATGTGGTAGCGCCTTTCTAATAGGATTTGCAATGGATTTGTGTTTCTAACCAAATAGCTAAATGTAGGAATGTTAAATCTACCGACGGGTAAATTCAAGTTTATATTCGTTTCACCCATAAATCGGATTTACTAAATCCAGTAGTTCAACCAATTTGATAAATCCAGAGCAGGATTTACTAAATCCTATTCAAGTTAAATCATGTTTGCAGCCAAACATCCCCAAAGTTAAACATAAAACAGCATCAGCAGCATAGTTACCTTGTATATGTTCTAGGCTTAGGGTAGTGAAGACGAGGAGGTTCGGAGGTAGCAATACTGTGATGATTATAAGCTTCTTCCCCGACATCGAACGTTACCACATTGGGACCTATTCTGAACCTCTGTTGATTCAAGCAGAACAAGCAGATATAAAAACTGCTTATCATCACCAATGTCAAAATAACAGTCCTCTGCAAAAATGGAAATCTCATCTGAGGCTTTGTTCCAAGTGAACCCTGCAAGTAGGTTTAAGACAGTTAGTTATATTCAGCCTTCTTTAATTTTCTCCGAAAATAAAAATGACTTTTTGGAGGGGTGAAGAGAGAACCCTAGGGTTAAATGTAGCTTACGTATGCCAAAAATGGAAGAGAAAAAAGCTGGTTGAGAAGAAACCACAATGTGAATAGAGCGGAAAGGGTAGAATAAGTCAAGAAATTCAACCAAATGAAGTTGAAGAGATTTAAATCCATGAGAGGGAA